TGGGTGAAAAACTTTTTCTTCTATGTTGCCAGCTGTTGAATTTGAAACAAATTTTCGGATCGCAACGAATATAAACATTCTTAAGAAAAACTTTTTCGTAAGTTTCCTTTGGCGGTTCGAATTAACGTCTTTATTGCGTAAATTACATTACTGCAATATCGAAACGTTTATAAGCATTATAATAAATTCCGTCCGTGACCAACTTACGCCGCTGATAATACGGTTTGACGCAATGAAACCGATGTGCGAGAGTGGAAATAGCGCGGCTCGATTTGATGGAATACTTTTTGTTTTGACGTCACACGATCTAATAACCGTAGCGCGGGTTACGTGACGTCATAGGTCACGTCTCGACGCTGCGACTCGCGCGCAATGCACCGCCGTTGCCGACCGCCCACGCACCGCGCTGCTGACGTTAGCCGCGATAAGCTGATAAATAGCTTAAACGACGCCAGCTACGAATGTTTCGCATGTGCTCGAAAGAGCTATTTCCATACAATCGATTATTTGCCATGATGTAACCGAATCGATATTATTGCTGACGTTTGTCCTCTTCTAGTCCTTTCTCTAAATAACGTGTAAATTTTGTTAACTTATTTAAACATTATTTAACTACTACTCGAACTAACATAATTCGCGTTTTAAACGGTTAAAGTGTTTTATTTAAATGTGTACTACCTCGCGTAAACTACAGACACAGTATTTAACGTGTAATTATGTCTGTTTATTCGAACCGATTTTAATTGACCTACAATACCATCACATGAAACATTTTATGAACAAAAATATAATTCAATAGTCTAGTTAAGCGAGCAAAAATCCCTTTCGAACCAGCTTGAATCGTAACCACTTCGCAGTATGTGTTTTTAATTAGCAAAATGTGTTGTGTACACGATAAGTAATTTAGATAGCACGCGTGCCGATTCATAGGTACAATTTTATGCTAAATGTAAAACATCTGTAAACGTGTTAGATATTCATTAGCTGCCCTTGGGGGGCTTTATGACAACTAATTCGAGTGGGCGTCACTGTTTTTTTTTTTTAACACGCCCCAATGAATTACGGTGACAGCTAAGTATTGTTATCGATAATAATTCCTAGTCCTTCATACTTATTTGCGTTTATTTTTCTAAATATATGGTGTATCACCCTTAGACGTGAAAATAGAGAATATTAGTATCTAATTATTTCATCCTCGTTATCATTTGTACAGTTTTTTGGGGAAAAAATAGAGATTATTGTTTTTTTGTACTTTTGATGTAGTATAAAGTAGCCGCTTGAGACGCCGGCTTATTACATCAGAATCTTGTTAACTTCAAACTAAATACAATTCTATATCTTTTTATTATAGCCGGATGCATCTATTTTTCATTCCATTTATTGCATCATGGTTTTTTTTCCTAAGAGTGCAATATTGAGACTATTTATTGTCCGACCTCAATCACCACAATTACGTGTGCAAAGTCAAGAGGTTAATAAACCGCTGAAAGTTAGCCAATGTGTTATGTAAACATCCGTTTGATACGGGCAGGGTGCACCGAACGGCGCGCGAGTCGCTGATAGCGTTCGGCCCATTCATAAACTTCGACACTTACATAATTGCTGTTTAATCTCGCTATTTTTGAATCACAACTCATATCTGCCGAACGCGATGATATTGTTCTGTCGAGCGATTGGCGGTTCGAATGTCGTAAGATTGTTAGTAGTTGCCTATTTCTTAACGGCTTGGTAGAAGTAAACAGGCAGACGTAGATCTTTGAAGCTTCAGGGTCTTGACTAAACTGTTAAAATTAATCTCCAAATATGTCGGTAAATTATAGCATGTTTACTCCGTTGAGTAGAAAGAGTTGCATAAATACTTTCATACAATAACTTTTCTTAATAAACTAAGAATCTCTCGAACTATGTGAAAGGCCCAAACCACATAACACCACGGATAAATAAACAAAATAAACGAACCCCATTGAAATGGGTTTTGTAGCCAATTGAGTGCAACAATACGGCGACGGATTGCGGTTATAAAATATATTGAATAGGCCAATTCTCACAATGCACATGGCCAACGTCCGGTGTTATCGTGGAGGTGCACAGAAACAACATGACTGCTCAAAAAAATGGACGCTGACGTTGTAAGAAATACTAATAATTCGTTTACTTAGGTGCGATTTTTTTTGACGTCACGTGTAATAATATACACTCGACGTCAAAAAAATCGCACCTTTTGAAATTTTGACTTCGAGCGAATGATACTCATAACGTATTTATTGTACCCTACCAAAATTAATATCATTTGAAAGCACAAATAATACACTTTAAAAACGCGTATCGTTCTTTTTGTAAAGCAATAATCACAAAACGTTAGGGTTTTTAAAAAAAAGTGCTGAAAAGCTCATTAGAGGACTCACTACTTGTGCCAACTTGGACACGAATAAAACGGGGGGGTAACGATTAATTATGGGTCATTAGCTATCCAGACATCACAGAAGTCATACCTGAACAGCTCCAGTTAGAAAAAAGCCCTAAAAATGGGTACCACGGCAGAAGAAGCAGCTCAATTACCGAAATTTCAATAGGAAGGACGGCCTCAAATTATCAAACACCTGGGATCCCAATTAAACACTCTGGATCCCAAAACGCATACCGGCAAACGCGAAGACACCGTTAGTCAATTCTGTGAGGACCCAGCCAGTTTCGCCAAATACCAACTTCGACGGAACAGATGGCGCTAGCGTAGCAATTTTTTACTTTGACTTCAGAGACATCCTCCATCTTTAGTCTCCCCTTGACCACGGCTGCTGCAAAGCATCCGAAACGTCGGGCCGAAGTTAAAAATCATTTTCAAATAAATTTAACTAATATATCGCGTTTTAAACCGTTAAAGTCTTTTATTTAAATGCAGATATATTTAAAAAAAACAAAACAAAAATGTGTTTAACAAGTAAAAATTAATAATTTGTATATTGTTTTTGGGACACCTCTTGGCGAAATGAAAACTAGTAGATGTGGCGATCGCTGTTGCCAGCCGGTGGGCCGGATGAATGGCATGCGCGTGAGTCGATTGCGCAACGCGTGACGCAATGTCGCGCCCGCGCACCGTTGCTTGTTTGTATGCAAAGTTAAATGCGCTTCGCGATCGCCGTTCCGTTATGCGTGCCGTGTACTTGCGGGAAATTGAAAGCATTACTAAGGTATGTTAGGCATTCTTAGTCAAGTCCTGTATTGAATGAGGAAAAGTTTTTTCGTAGTCTGCTCTCATTATACATCGGTACTGTGCACTATGTGTCTTTATTTTTTAAATGTTAAAAGTCTATTAGAAGTTGGTAACTATCAGCTATCATTACTACTATCGTACAACAATTACTTTTATTCATTGTCAAATTATACAGCACACGATTAAAATTATTCCAATTTGAATACATTGAGGCATATAAAAATACAAATATGTCGATTCATCTAGTAACGTTTGCGAATAATGAATTAAAACCTTATCTTCGTTATTCAAATGTCGCAGGAGATAAGCGAGTGAGTTTTATTTAGTTTTTGTTCGCTTGGTGACAAGCCTATCGCACAAGTGAAACATGTTGAAGTGGCAACAATTCCGTTTAAACGACTGTTAAATTAATTCAAATTAATTATTCCGCAATTATGTTTATAGTCAATGGTAGGTTAAGTAGTCTTTTATTGTATTACTATCAGGGATGCACATTATAATCGTCTGAAATGTACAGCAGGTAAAAACATTTAGATGTAAATGGGTACGTACCTATCTATATATGACGAAACTGTAAATAATAAATGAAAATTAATAAAACTAATTTTGTATATACATATGTTGTTTAAGTACATACATATATATTTATTATATTTTATTAGTTAACGTTGTAATGTCAAGTGTACCGTATTTTATCACTTGGCAACAAGCATTAAATTACACTATGATGTTTTCAATACCAATTAATATTTAATGACTATACACACGACCACGTTTCCAGGAAAAATGCACAAAATTTGTTCGCAATAACAAAAATAATAATTATAAAGGGGCCGATGCATTCCGGGAACTGCGTTTACCCGCTCCGTATCGCTTGCGGAATCTTTCAAAAGTCGGTTTTCACATTTTCAACTCTATATCATTGATTATACAGTGCATTTTTCTACGGTGCACCGCAAAGAATCGAACGATGTCCCGCAGAGAATGTGTGCCGCTGACCTGAACTGGTCCGTGGTTGTATTCGAATTCAATTTATTATTTAAAGCAAAATATTCATATCGCGCTGTGTCCACAACGACTTCACATAAAGGGCTCGGTTTATTTATCGATTTTGCGTTTGCAAGCTCTTATCGCTATTCCTGTCTCACATCTTAATCGAGTTTATTTCGATAGCCAGGTGCAAAAACAATTATTTCCGTCTGCATTTCACCGGAGCATTTCTTCATAAGGTTTATTTAAACTCATTGACTTGATAAAAACAAAAATCTTATTAAAAACGTAAGTTTAAAAGCTACAAATAATAGTTGTATAGTTAACTTAACAAAGTACATAGTGCCTACACGTGTTATAGTTAAAAGTACACGACCTAACCGGTTATACGGCTAATCGTGAAGGAATTCAAATATTAACATCTTTATTGAGATTATACCTGCCATTGAGCCCTTCTAATCTTATCAACGCGTATCGCAACGGAATGAAGTTAAAATCGATGCATTCAATTTGTATGGTGCTCTACTGGTAGCGTCTAGATCAAGTTCTGTATGAAGGTGGTCATGAAATAAAAGATAGTTCCAGGTCGCCAGCCCAGCGTAGATCATATAATATTGGTAAAGAATAATTGTATTCACAATGAAACAATCAAGCGAGGCTTAAGGTAGTTCGCCGACGTCTGATATCAAATGTATTATTTCAAGACGATATACTTAGCCGACTCGCCGAGGTAATTAAAACCGTTCCAAGTTCATTATGGGACTTAATCAGTGCACGGCGGAACAGTTAACTCACTAAAATGATAGCAGACAAGTCGCCAGTCACTATTGTTTGTGTTTTCCTCAATTTAATTAGTCTGACGGAGCGCGCTACCGTTATTTCGGTTGCCATGGAGCACTTTTGGCCACGATTCAGCTCGGGCGATATCGGGGCTATTTCACTACACATTCTTGTACGAGTGCAACTGTGTTTGACAACTGTGACGTCACCGCCTAGATCTCTGATTGGGGAGGGTAAATGGATTGGGGCTTACCGCAAATTCGCCGGCAATGTTACCTATAACAGCGATTAAAAAATATACCTAAAACTTACATTTTAATATCTTTTTTCACATTTCCCGCTGTTTCTACACTCTTATTCGTCACAGCAACTGCTCTAACACGAAAATATTGTTTTTTATTCGAATCAGTGGTTCCTAAGATTAGCGCGTTCAATCAAACAAGCTATTCAGCTTTACATATTAGTATATAGTATAGATTTAGGCTCTTATTTATGTCACTACTCTATTTCTCTAATGCAAATACACTAAACAGACTCACGCTTTTCTTAATTATCGTACAGTAATGATATTTTGTTACGAGTGAAAATTGTGAACGCGATGATATCGTTGAAAGTTTTAATGAATTTTAAAATGATCCAATTATTGCACGTGCTCCGTAAAGATGAGGTAGTTAACGCCTTTTCCTCATTACAAGTTTGCACACTTTTCTCCAAAGACGTCTCGCCTTATGTGTTTGCATAATGCACTTATTGCAGAGCGCTTTGCACGTGTTACTCTATTTCTAAACGATGGTACATAAGGACTAATTGAAATATTATTTTAGAGAAAGAATTAGATAGACTTTTGATGTGTTAACTACTAACTTAGTATTATCATACTTGCTCCTTAGTTTATTTTTTTCATAATTAGGATTCACGTTTTTTTGCTTGTTTGGTATATGTCTATTTCTATATGTAGTTTACGTGCGATTCTGTTAGAAGAATAAATGAATATAAAGATAATATAAATATGTAAATATTAGTATGACAGTTAGATTTAAAACCGCTCGAACATATTATAACACATGGTATTTGTACTATACTCTCAAAGGAGTGACTTAAATTTGTAAATGTTTATCTATCAAAATTCGATACATCACTTCTAGAGTTTTCAATTCGGCTTCCAAATGTCCCCCGTATTTCAATTTAAATGTAGATAGATTGGTGCTTGAGAAAATGAATTTCGAAGCGAGTGTTCATAGCGTAAAACATGTGGTTCAGGCATTGTAGATAGGGCGTCTGGGTGGTCGCCCGTTGTGCCCCGAGCGAGATTATTCTAGTAGATGGGCTCAGAAAGCGAGGTATCGGCTATTTTTATAATAATTATGCTCGCCGTACCGCGATGCCGATAAACGATTGTTACTCTTCTCTAATGCTATGTAGCAATCCACGTTGATAACGGCTATAAACGCTTGGAATAACACCGAACTGATTCCATAGCATTTCAAAACCGCCAGATACAACTCTCCTTAGCCGAGCAGAACTTACCTTAAAGCTAATACACAATAACACGTTTGTTATAATGAATCGCCGATTGTTTTACTTTCTACGAAGGGGCAAAGAGAAAGTGGCTGATTGGCATACCTCCTTTGTTCCTTTCCATTCCTTCTCTATTGCTTTTGTATCTAAACATCGCTTTTTTTATACTCATTATCTTCCATCTTAGTTCTTACCTGCGGTCTCTGCTCTCCGGTCTGGGTCGCTTGCAATACTTTTAATTTTTTTCCCCAACGTCGATTAACAACGCAACGCTAACTCTGTTTAGAAATATATAATGGGGTCCTGAATGGTTAGACGCAATAGCGATGCCTTATTCTAGACTATTACAAGACTAATGCTCCCCCATTGTTCTGTGTTCGACTTTTAATATCTTCGTTTTTGTTTTTCGCCGTTGATATTTCCCCGTCCACTAAACGACTTGGATTAGTTCTCCTTTTCTTAGCGTCTCTTTGTACGGTACAGAGTTTATCATTTTCTTTGCGAGCCCCATTTTAAGAGCAATTAAATACTCCCATAACGAAAACGAAGCGAGAAAAGCAAAGATCGCTGTTATTATGTCTTATTCACTCCTTAACTTCGGGTAAACTGAATCTAGCTGAATTATTTAACTAGCGAACTAGCAGTGTCGAGTTTCATTCGGCATTACGTTTAATTAAAATCATTGTTAACTCCCGGTCCGAGGCCGAGAATGCGCTGTTTACACCCTTGGGTATAGTAGACCCTAAAGTTGGGACGTGAATCATTCAGGCATGAAACAGAAAGTACATTTTCGGGATCGGACAATTTGGGTAAAATTGTACCGATATACATTATAAATATACTATGCGCCAAATCTCGCTTAACAACTAACCAATAATACAAAGATAACACCCAATTCACTTTCTTGTCCTCGAGACACAAAAGCTAGACAGACACCTCCGAGGACTTAAATTCCTCCAAAACGTTGTGTGAGACGGAATCCGCATTACCATAATAAAAATTTACAGCAGACGTCGTCGTCTACTTACGGCCAAATTGATAAATGCAGCCCTAAAAACCTCTTTGTTCGTATTACTTTATATTTGTTCGCCCACTCGTTTTGGGCTCTGGGCTTCGTTTGCAAGTAACTTGTTGAATGAGCTCGCGAGTATTATTCCCCGATTCTCATTTATTCAATGTCCACATAAGTAATTGCCACGGCTTCGTGCTTAGAGATGGCACTACATTCATATTAATTATCGAGACGGTTGTTCGTAATGTGAAAACAGTAGGGGGCAAACTAAATTAGCCAACAATTATTCCTTACAACCTTGTCCTTAATGAGCGCGATGAGGTTCTATTTTCTCTTCTACTACTTTCATTAAAAAATCGTCTTTTAGACAAAACCAACTGTTAAATTCTCGAAGGTCGTGTCTATGTGTCTCTCTAGACATCGATTGGCATTTAAAAATAAACTGAAAGCGACACGCGGCAAACGAAACGCGTGGGCTTTCCTATGCCCCCACCAGCTTCTCTATTTATAGATCGTAAACATGGACTGATAGTTCAAGTGCTTTCCTTTTCTTCGAGAGGCAATACATGATCTGTTATGAAACCTTTTTAACAGTTCAATGCCGTGCCGCATTGCGTAGGTTCCGATTTTTTATGAACACGTGTTTGCTCTTTGCTCTGTACTCTCGTAACATCTGGTCTTTCGTGCTCCGCGTTTTGAAGGTGCGATACAGAAATGCTCCCGATCAGAACTGATGAATTTTGGGCCCACTTTAAAATGACATCCCTCAAGTTGCGTGGGTAGTAGTGGAAGTAGGCTTAGCTTTCGATTACATTATTCGTGCGTCATAGCACTCGATGACTGTGACGTCGAAAGTCACTTAGGGTAATGTCATACTTAACATAAGAACTGAATTATTTACGCGATGAAGAAATAGCGACCGAGTGAGGTTTTGTGTTTTAAGGGTATAAGTGGTTCGAGATGGGATGCGAAATTATTGCGTGGAGGTAGGAGCGCCCCCTGGTCTCGAGAAGGACTAGACGGATTTGGAATCGGATTGAATTGCAGAAATAAACATTTCAATCATACATATATCATTATTACTTCATGTTTGAATGGCGCATATGAACTGGTTTTTCAATGTAAGCAAACGAAAGCTCTATCTTTAGATTTCAATGGAATTGGAAAAAAACACAGGTAGTAATCAAGGCCTAGGCGCAGGATTTCTGAGAACGGTGTGTGCATATTGCTTATCAGATCCCGTTATAGTTTACTTTACAGTGGAGTAATTTCTGACTATTTGGTATCTGAAATCATTTTATATATCAAGTTGAAAAAGCGTAATATTTAAAATAAAAAAAGCAAAAAAAAAAACCAAATGTGTGAGTAATTGTTCTTATAAAACAAATAAGATTCTTAATATGAACTACTATCGTAGAACCATGATATTCAACATCACCAGTGGCGTTGAACTTAAAGGATTTATTTAATTCACAAAAGTCTGAAACAAAAACGTAGGTAAGTAGTCTGACTGGTTACTAATTCTAACAGAGTCTAGACAAGTCAATAGCTACGATATGCAAATGCATACACCTCGAATACGTTTGTAATAAATTTACTTATGTATACTGGACATAACACTTTTTTCGACGTCTCGAATTTACGCCGTCATTCTTTGGGTTTGACGACTTGTTTACTCGAAAAATATGTAAAGATATTGAACATGCTTTAAAAAAGCCAACTTATCACGGACCTTGTGGCGCAGACTAAGTTTCGACGATATGAGGTAATTTGTATGAATCGGATTTCGAGACTTACTATGTATGAGATTTAACTAAAGATATGAAGTTTTCTTTGTCTGGCTCTTCTTTAATTCTGTCCCTACAATTTTGTACTTTGTATGAATTGGGTATATATACTCATATGTAGGTAATTACGAAAAATATGTCCAGTTCTTTAATATCTTTATTATGACTTCTCATGATATCAGAAGCCGATGACACAACAGCAATTTTTCTGTGCTTTTCTTGTTAAGTATTCATACCACTCCGACAAGTTGATATAATTTTATCCATATTTTCACGGATCTTGTATACGTTTTATGTTCCCTCATACAATGTAACACATCCGCGACCTTTCGGCTTTAAGCTTTTAGCATCCGCGCTTGTCCCAAACATGACCTTTGTATGGTTAACCTCGCCGAATGCATTATTTATATTATGTTATACTGGTACTTGTTGTTTATGTAATTTTGTTTGCGATTAAAATCAAATTAATTGATTTATTAATTGAATGAACATTGCAAAAATAAGGAAAATCCATTTTCTAAACATTATTTTTATATAAAACACGTTAACGGTTTAAATGTATGTATATATATATATATATATATATTAGTTAAACTTATTATTAACTTCGTCCGACGTTTATCGGATGCTTTGCCGCAGCCGTGGTCACGGGAAGACCGAGTTTAACTAATATATATCGCGTTTTAAACCGTTAAAGTGTTTTATTTAAATGTGTACTACTCGCGTATATAAACGACAACATAGTAAAGATGAAATTTGTCTCTATGTTGTCAGTTCCTTGAAGGATAATATTTTCAATATTATTTCAATAAAATATGTTTTACGCAATTTGTAAGAATGTTTTTATATTCTTGTACGACTTGTGTAATATTTTATAGAATTATATTTTATTATTACACGGAATCGTTACTAATTATTGTTTTTCTCTTGTTCTAGGTAAATCGAGTAGTACCTGTTCTAGTTGGACGTTCCGGTAAATTATACACTCCGCTCTTAATCTCGGGCCAAGTTAATTGTGCTCTGGTGTATGCACCCGGCTTGTCTTTTAAACAATTTAAAATTTATACCGAGTGATAAAATCTTATAGGCCACAAAATTTCAGATTAAGTTCTCTCGAGCGCGTGAATGAATGACTTTTATTTTTTCGAAGGTAAACCTTGGGCGTATTAAGTTTTATATCTTTATTTTACAACCGACTAAATTAAAAAATATGAAGGTCAGCGTACAACAAAGGTGATTAAACCCGTCGGGCCAGACGTCGAATAATAACTAGTGGTTTTTAGATCTGCGATTAGCATGAACACTCATATAGGTATATCAATAGCTAGACTTGTTTGTGCGTTTGCGCCTTTTTTGTAACAATTTATTATTTTGTAATTACTCGTTTACGCCTCGCTGTGTAGTGCATGACTCTTAATGAAAACATTTTTAATAGAAAAAGCTGTTAGTTATCCGTTTTTGTTCGTTATGACAACCACGCCGAGATAACTGATAGTCCGTACACTTTTTTACAGTGCCATAGAACTAGTCCCTAAAATACTTTGGCATAATTACGATATTAACTCAATAGCATTTAACAATAGTTAGAAAATAATAGCAGGAATGTTCCTCTATTTTATCTTCCATTTAAAAATGTAATGTCCACCTTTGCATTCCTAATTGATACTTTAATAGAAAACATAATTAAAATGTCGTTATCGCTATTATCAGTTACCATGCGGACTCCGATAGACGCATGCTTGAAATATTTCCATGCGATTCGTACGGTATGCGGTATTTTCAGTAATCGAACTGTCGCAGGCGCACTGTCGCTATCAGTCGTATTATGACTCATGGAAAGCTATTGGCTGCCACTCCTTGGTGCATGTCGCTAGTGATGTGTTTAAGGTTTGAAGCAGTTACGCTGTACTTCAAATGTCCAAGCTCAAAATTTAATACACTAGGGAAGTCTAGACATAAAGACAGGACACAATAGAGATAGATAGGGAACCTAAGATCTTTTATAATGCAACTGTCACCGAATCTGATCATTCTAATTTGTTAAGATATGCCTAGACCGAAGTTATTGTTTGATTGAAGTGATTTACGCCACCTGCATTCACGTAGATAAGGCCAGTTTCCAAATGCACGGGTTATCGCTTCCTCGACGTCTTGAGGAAAATAAAACCCTCAGATTTAACACGTAACGACCGAGTGCCGGAGGCACGTCGTGGTGTTCGTGTAATTGTTTGTGAATTGTAACACAAAAGTCGTTCACACTTTTTGCCACCATAAATCCCGATAAAAAATTGATCCAGCAAATGTAACACTCGGCTCATTTCACGGGCATTACGAGTCATTTTAGTGGACCGGATGAAACGGATCTCTGTCATCGCTCCTTATAAAAACACGATCAACAAACAACAACAGGTGTGTCCCATTCCCTTCGAACATCCTGTCGAGTGGGCCTTGAGATGTACGGCTTCACGAATGCGTTGACTCCTACCCTGTATTTTGTAATCGACCGCGCTGCCTGTATTTATTTACAGTCGACTCGAGTCAATCTATCCGTATTGATCGCGAGGAAACATGGTACAGTCGATTTGTAATAAAAAAGTCTTGCGATTTTATCGTCCAAACATCGACATCGAAACAATGCACAAGAACCTCACTAATTCGCCTTATCAACTATCGACATTGTTGTACGTCATGACAAAAAACTCCGGCGCCAAAATTCTTATCAGCGATGCACGATGGAAACTAGTGCACAGTGCGATGCGATAACGATGTAATTATCTGGCATCTAGATTCGTATTCGCCGTGTCATTGTGTGGTTAAATGTTATTTAAGAGGGTAAGCGTTCGGGGAAGAACCTCGAAGCTTAAGTGGAATGTCCAATTCCTCAGTTAATGCGCCATCGGAATACTTGGAAGTATATAGTGGTCAAAGTGGGCCACAGTCGCAAGTCTGCAGCGAAAGAATCGCAATTGAGGAGGCATTAATCGTTCGACGCCGGCGTCTAATTGAGCGAACGTGTCGTTTTGACTCTGGGCCACTTTGGCCGCTCGGCACAGACAAAATTTTCAACCGGACCGGACCTGAAAATCCAGCGAAATGTCAAGTGGGGAAGTACATAACGCTCGCCCCCTTGACGAGTCGAAGCGAATATGCGCAAGTGTAAGATGCTCACTGCAGACAGTTATATAAGAGCTGAAGTGTACATTTATTGTGAGTGCTGCTACACAGAGTTTCATTATGACGGCGCGCCCCGGGCGTCTTGCACTCAATCTATCGGCCGACCAAAAGGCACAGTCTAAATCACCCGCGGTCCCCCCTCAATGATATTGTACGCTTTGAGACTTGAATGACTTTTTATTCTCTCCTTTTATGCAATAACGCCTCTTTCAATGAGATCGCTCGTCACCTGATTGTGTTCTGTATATTGTATGCAAACCTTTTTTTGAGCTTTCGGGGTGGGGAGAACGGGCTTTTCTGGCACCAAAAGTTTATTTATATGTATTATATACACAACAACAACGGAGCTTTGAAAAAACCAACTAACTTTGTTATATCGTCCAAAACCTTTATAATTTTCCAAATAACTCATTGCTATTCATGCCGACCGCACATTAGTTGTCTGTATTATAAATAGCAGTCTCGACATTTTTCTTCTTGCAACAAACACTGTTTCTGTAGCAGATGTTACGACACCTGCGTTTCGTTGCTCCGAGAATGCGCCTTCGTTAGCAAAGAAATTCCCTAGATTCATGATATTTTTATGGGATAGGAATATTCCGTTCTCTTTGATATATTACAAATGCGATTGTCGTTTGATTGTGTTAATTAATATTTTAAGGCATTAAGTAAAAACTACACATAACGTGGGGTGAATTTGAAATTTATATCGTTTTCTGTTACGTTTGAGTACTTATTTTACAAGGCTTAAGTAAATGTTTTCGTTGTTAATTTAACAATTTGATATTGTTCTCATATTCTTTTAATATATTAGGTAGTTATTTTATTTATGAAGTTTACAGCCTAATAATTAATTGCACAGCCATAACAAACTTCAATTATTCATTCGAAATAAGTTATTTTTTATTCAAAGAAAACTTTGGCTCATTTCAAATCTGTTTTTAATAAATAAAATTATTATTTTATAAATATGTATTACGTAATTTGAAGTAAAATGTAGTACAAAAACTAAACAACAACAACGGTTGAAGATTAGAAATGGTAATGAATTTTGTTGAAGTCATTTTTAGCACTTATGTGGCCCTTCTTACTTAAAAATTTCGCGGCCTCCCAATGGGTTAATAAAGTAATCTTGCGAGAGTTGAAGAACCCGCTCAGGTCAAACGGTTACTTATTTCCTCCGCTGCCTTAATCATTTCGTTCGTTGCGCCTCGTGTCCCACTCTGTCGATACTTCAAGTTGGAGGACTTTAGCGGGGTTCGTAGTAGTACGTAAGTATATATACTAGATGCAGGCATTATAATCACTAAATTAAAGCGTACATTTCAATTAATCAATAAAAAACACTGTCGATATTCACTTATTCATAATTATTTCATTAACAAGTAACTATTAGCAATTTTCTGCATAAAAGTAGTTTGTATTATTTAAAGATGAGAGTATTATTTGAAGAGTAATAAATACCTCACAACCTTTTACGTTTTTAAGAATATCAGGATAAACGAGATATGTGGTCGAGACAACAATAGTGATATATGGGAGTGATAGTTTATATACTCTAGAATAAGACTAAGCGTTTATTTATAGTGTATGAAGTCTCTTATGTAATAAACCACTGTAATAAGTCGCTGATCGCTTTACAATGCGGCGCGCTCAACAGCCGTAGCTGCCCAGGGGAAATTATGTGCCACCGGGCGATACCGCGTTTAAAAATAACTATAATATTATTATTATTGAATGTGTTTAGAGAAAAATAATTAGTTGAATTTTGTAAAGAAATGTCGAGTTTGTTGGTTTTGGTTTGGGATTTGCATAGTATGGCTAATAATAAGTAACAATTCAAGATGTTTATTTGAATGGAATCTAGATATTTACTAGGTAGTACTGACATCAATGAAAAGCCCGTCACGTGTTATCGCCTTTCCGTTTGTTAGTAGGCGTTGAAATGTTATATAGTTCCCCTGTCATAAAAAAAATCCTTTTATGCAACTCAAAACTCAACGAATAAGTTTAACACAATTCATATTTTCGAAATAATTTTATCGCTACAAACTCAGCATAAAGAAAGTACATACGTAATATATTTTGGAAAGCGCGTAACGTAACGATTTTATTTTAATAAATTACGAATAGATTTCACTATTTATAACTTAACTGTACATTACTCGAATATGTGCACGAGAAAGAACGTCGAAATAATATAGTCATAACTTTCCCTATTCAAATTATAATTAAATCGTCGTTAATTTTTATTTGACTCTGTTAAGTGCTAATTATTACATTTATTTTACGGCTTAATTTGAGAAGATTGAATTTCCCTTTTGTCGTTTACTAACGAGAAGTAAGGATATTCAAGAGCACAAACTGCACAAACGCACTTTTTATATAAAGATGTTAAGTACTAAAATTGAGAGACTGAAACTTCTACAGAAACTGATAATTTCCACCTTTTCGGCTTTACCGTGGCCGGGCAAAAGTATGGCTCTAGGTGGCTAGAAAGACCTCCCAAAGGTGGCGGTACACCTGTCGCATAGGAACCGGTTTTTTCTAGCGTGTGAATGGACATGATGGATCTTCTCATATAACCCGAAACTGGTTTTCTCGGAAAATAAGTCTCGAACAAAAGCTGTACTTATTGGAGAGCTTTATTTAAATGCCACGTTTTCCCTGCAGGTGCGGTGTTAGACGTTGTCGAAGGCTTTGGGTGGTTAATTTCCACGAATTAGCTTAACAGTTTTACAGCACTGGTTTGATTCCTTAGTACATTCCATTATTTATATATTATTATAATCATTTTACTAAAATATTAGTGTACTCGTTCTGTACTAATAGACGAAAAACAATTATTTTTTGTCCGTAGAACTTCAAATATTTTACGAATAGAAGGAAGCAGATTATGCCAGTCAGTTGTTTTCTTTGTTGATTCGCGTAATACATAACCAAATGCAGTTGCAAATCAAAAGTGATCGAGATCGGTATTATATTTTGGGTCGATTATAATAATTATTATCGTGATCGCAGCCTCGAACCACTTTACAAAGACATCGATTTCCGTTTTTATAGGAAGAGTGCGTTAAGCAGAAACATTCAACGTCGTCATTTCGTATTCATACGAGCTATAAATAAATTCCCACACGTGTATTTATATAAACAAACGTCGCATGACTACATACAGTTGACTGTATCGTTTGTATTCAAAACTTAGCCCGAATACACACTGCATTACCGCTCTCCGCACTATTTCGGTTCTATCCTCAATATTTACACGGGGGCCCTCGATCGATGAGTCAACCATTACCATGGTATCTCTTTAACACATGACATTAATGTTTGTCTTGTTCGACATATCAATGTTAATTCGTTAGGGTTTTTAATTCGACATTAAGTTATAAACAAGCTAATAAGTTTAAATAATGAACACATAGACGTTTTTCATTAAATTCAATTGATCTTGGTTTTTAGTTCGTGCACCTTTAGGCATTTGCATATGTTGCAGTCTTGTATGATAGTAATCCTAATATTATAAAGCTGAAGTGTTTGGTTGTTTGTCTGACCGCGTTTATCTCAAGAACTACTGGTTCGAAATGAAAAATTATTTTTGTGTTGGTTGGAGTTTATCGATGAAGCCTTTTTGCTATAACACGGCTGCGATTAATAGGAGCTAAGACACATTGGTAAATGTGAAAACGACAAAGAACATTATTCGTCTTTGAGGGTTTAATACCTGGTGCTGCGGTATATGTCGTTTTTTAAAGATTATCTCACAAGGACCGTTATATATAGCGCAAAATAACGTTTGCGAGTTCAGCTAGAGTATCTATACATATACACACGACATTTAAATCGTGTTAAAGTATATATAACATCAATAAAAGTCAATCAAGAGGGCAGTAATTTGCAAAAGTCATACGTCGCAAGCCAGTTCAGACACCGAGGGGTTCCCACACGGCGGATTTGGCTGGTGCAAATATGTTTAATGTCGTCGGTGCATTGCGTGTTTATTGTTTATTGGATCGTGTGTTGCTATGTAACAAATCAGGTCGAATTCGCCGCGAGTGTTACACGTGCGATTCGTGATCTATTGTTTTCGGCTTAGGCTGACAAAATGGCGAACTTTTCAATCGCATATGTTTGGCTCTAAAGACATTTGTCTTCATGGCATTATATACTGAATGAGGACAGACAAGCCCCCACGCTTGTCTGTCCCCATGTTTCGCTTGATAGAAGTAGAAATATCGCAGCCATGTAAGATTTTAACGGTTTATAATGCGAAATGTATCACTCAGCTACAGACAGTACTTGTCTTAACAAAAAGACAGACCTACCTCCTTTGTTTATTAAAAGAAATTATTCGTATCTAACCTTAATTTTACATCTTTCATTAGGTTTCCGTATATTATAGGAGACCCGCGCTCCATCATCATTAATCTCGGAGCGACACGTGTGACGAATTGGGCACATTCCGCGCGGCCCTTCGTTATCTACTCTTGATTTTATTTCGAACTTGTCGATTGCCACCTAAAGCACCGTTGCAAGTGCAATAACAACTAGAACGGGCCAAGTGCGAGTCGGATTCACGGAAAGGTCCATGGCGGTCTTGACGGGCTCGATTGTCTATCGAAGGGTCGGGTTAATCCTACGTCCAACATGTTTTAAATTTGTCAATTATAAATTCAGAACCTGAACCGCAAATCTGCATATTAAATGAGTGGTAGAAATATCGAAATTCCCTCCGGGTCACGTACCGCCGTTCACAGCTGAAAAAGCCGTGAAGTTTCATCGCGTTTCGGTTTCGGTCTGTGGATTTCCGAATATCCAAAGCCAAAATAGGTCGACAGTGCATCTTGTTTAGATGCTATAGGCTGGGGATAACCACCTACCATCAAGTGAACCCCCCATAGTTGTCTAGCAGCCATAGAGTTGCTGCTCTATAAAAAAAAACAATTACAAATCGGCAAAACACAGATTAAATAAAGAAACAATTGA